ACTGTAAAAGGCGAAAATGAGGTCATGTAGCTCACTAGGGCTAATGAGTGAGAGTAAGCACTTGGTGTTACCACAAACTTTGATTTTAAAACACACGATACGAAATAGTAAAAATAAAAAGTAAAAGTAAAAATCTTGGTTAAATAAGTAGTAAAACGAAGAATTCATCGATGAAAAATAAAGTCCTAATTTTGCAAAGTTCATCTTTCTTGAATAGTAACTGCAAAGGAATAGTAAATTTTTTTTTTTTTTTTTTTTTTTTTTTTTTTTTACATTATATACACTACCACCACTTAGAATTGTGGTGGATCGTTCGAGGTCTTTTCACTACGTTCTCAATAGTAGGGTCATAGTCTGTAAGCGATTTAATAGCTTCATAGGGAGAATTTCTCATATCTTCAAAGAAGTTGTGTGTGGAAATTATTAGGATTTGGTCGTGAATTGGGTTGATATCCAGGTCTTTGTGAATTGGAGAATTTCGCACGAACCAGGGTTGCGAACTTTTGCACATATGCTACGTAAGATTTTGTTTTGAAGTAACATTTAATTTTTGTCTGTCTATTTTTCGGGCAGTGGCACAGGCTGGAACTGCATAGAGGATTATTGGGCGAATAAGTGAGATGTAGATATTTTTCTTGGTACGGAGGTTTAACTTAGAGTTTCTTCCAATTAATGAGTAGAGAGCAATGAAAGCAGCGTTAGCCTTATTTGTAACATATTGAATATGATCTTTGAAATTTAGGGTTTTGTCCATATAGACACCTAAGTATTTATAGGAGTTGGCAACAGGAATATCTTGGTTATTAAGTCGGATATTTATATTCACTGGGATATTTTTTCTGTATCTGCGAAAGAGAACTACGCAGCATTTGTCAGTATTTAGTTTGATTTTCCAGTCTTGACAAAATTTATTAATAATGTTGACTTGGAGCTGAAGTTTCTCTAAAGCATTATTTGGACTTCGTGAATTGGTGAGGATGACTGTGTCATCGGCATATTTGAGTATATTAGAATGAAAAGGTAGAGGCATATCATTTATGAATATTGTAAAAAGCTTCAGTCCTAAAACACTGCCTTGAGCTACTCCACTGATTATGTCAAATAGAATTTCTGATCCTGGAGCTCCCAAAGGATCTAGAAAATGAAAGTATGTTTCGATGTCCATCAAACAAAAAATGAATTGCTACAAAAAATGGATAAAGGCATATCCTTTGTTTATCTAACCATTCCGAAATCTGTTTATTAATTTCACGCTGCTCTGCGCGGGGGGGGGGGTGTCGCAGTGCACAATGAACTGGAAGTTGATCTGTCAGCACTATCGTTATCTTCAGGGCAGATGTTTTTATTTTATTCGGCTTATAATTCCTCAATAAATGTAGTATTTAATCTCGATGTACTCCGTCTTTGATATGATTTAAATCAAATTCCTCGTCATTATAAATACTACGAATACAAATCAAATAGTTTTCTGGTTGCAGTTTTCTAATTTCGGCTCTGCGTAAGGTATGCGCGCGTTGAAAGAAATGTTTAATAAAGTAAGCAAATAAATATTAAGCTTCTTTTTTTGTAAATTTTGATACCCTTTAGATCATAATTGCTCATTATTTTATAAATTATGGTTTCATATTTTTAATTTTATAATTTCTGCATGCCATCTTACTAGATTTAAACTGGTGATCTATAATCCAAAAAATTCGATAATCCGGAATCGCCGAAGTCCCGATGAGTCCGGATTAAAGACTTTTGACTGTATTTGTATTAAGGGATATTGCTTATTTCATTGTAATTTTGTTATACGTAATAACTTTTTTTTTATGAAGTTGTTTTGCAGAGTAAAATTCTACGCAGTTTTTAAATTTAATGTTTGGTGTTCCCTTCAGCCATTTTTCCGATACATTTAAAAGCCAGACGACTCAGGCGAATGCAGTTCGCAATAAATGGGCCCCCGTGCGGATGCGCTATCCCTGAATAACATGTGAGGGCGATTTTCGAGCTTCTGATTCACCATAGCATTAGTAGTTCCTGAAATAGGAGAAAACAAAACATGGCAAAGGAAACAAAACAAAAGATGTAGGATGGGCTGGGAAAAATAATGTGCCCAAGCAGTAATACATAGTTGAAGTAAAGTTTCTGGAAGTAAGTCGCCGAGGACAAGTTATCTGCCAAACAGTAGCTGCAGTACTCCGGAAAGGACGAATAGAGAGCAAGGTGGGTGGAGCAAGTTCTCAGGTGGTCACCCACCCAAGTCCTGTCCCGGCTGCCTGCTGCTTAACTTTTCGGCGCTAACGCCGCAATAAGGCTTCATGATCCTGGAGAAAAAGAGTTGTACGGTGAAAGTTTAGTCACTTGCTAATTGAAAAATGTTCATCAGAATTAGAAGTTTCTCAGGGTTGCTAGGGGCTGCTTGAAGATGTTGATGGTTTTCTTTGAAAGCTGTAACAAACTTTCTAATGCAGTTGTCACTAAAAATTTCTTGTATCTGTTTGAAAATGTTCATAAGGTCCAGCATAGGTTTAAAATCACTTTCTTTCACGGGGTAACCGATGTCTTGCATCTGTTGAGGCTGGGTAGTCATCAGTATTCATTAGGAGTTTGTAGCACAGGGGTAATTTGTGATTTAGCCGCGTCAGCATAACTCACGCCTGGTCTTGCATGCGAAGGACTGAGGATTTTTTGTAAATTTCAGAAAATACTCACAACCACGATAGGAACTAACGTGGTTTTTTGAGCAGTTACTGCAGGTGGGTTCGTCAGTCTTCTTAAGATCACACTCCGCAGAGATGTGGTTTTTAGCACATTTCACACATTTGGGGGGGGGGGAGTTTGCAGCTATCAGATGAATGTCCAATTTTTTGGCAGTTGTAACATTGATACACAGAGAATCTTGGTTTATACTTCTCGACCTGCACGGCAAATCGAAGGAGTCGCTGGATATCGTAGAACTTCATCAATATTCAGAGTATGACGCAGTTGGACTTGGAAAATAGGCAGGGGGGCTTTGGTACGAAAATTTCTGAGCCGTGCAATTTTATGCACCTGAAAGTTCAAATCCGTCAGAGCTTGCTTAATTTTATCAACATCAGTATTAACGGGCAGTCCTTTAATCACAATTTTTCTGGGTCTGTCATTTTTGTGTTTCACCAGGAAGAATCCAATGGAACGTTGATTTAAAAAGTTCACAATGAAGTTGTAATCTTGCAATGTTTCAGGAATAACACGACGACAATCAAAGTGGAATTTGCCTATAAACTTGGCTTCAGTGTTTTCACTAATGTCCGTGAGAATTTGGTGGTGCTCATCCTTGGTATTTATCATAACGTGGGGGACGTTGCTCAGGCTATTAGTAGGAGTAGGTTTTTCAGTATTATCAGCAGTATTCGTATCCATGTTTTCTTCGCTCACTAGAGCATTAAATTGGTTGCTTATCTCCGGCTGCGAGACAGGTTCAGGGCTCTTGAGGCGTGCAATCTTCTTCGGTGTAGTGAACTCGTTTTCCTTAACAGCATCCGTAGGCTCGCAGGGTTCTTCAATGTTAGGGAGGGGAAGAACAGGAAACGGTTTTTTGCGTTTTCGGAATAGACACGCTTCTGGGTGGTCTATACTTGAAAGATAAGTTTCACATTTTCCTTGGATTGAGGTAATATCTTCCTTGAATTTGTTGCGAATATCAACAGTTTCCACAAGTCCGGATTCCACTAATTTTAAGTGGTTTGGACAAAGCCAGACGAAGGCTGGCAGCGAAGCTGCTAATCATCAATAAATTAACAAAACAGTGAAATCTGTGTTTCAATTTTAAATCCAGAAAATATTGTGAAAATGCCCATGCAGCCAATTCATTCGCCTGGAATCAAATGTGGGTCAAATTACCAGTGTTCAGCCACTTTACCACTTGGTTGTTGGTGGACTCTGGATCTCACATGTATTATAATATCTGATGTAAATGGAGAAAAGCATACTACATGCCAAAAACATTTACATAACTTGTACTACTAGTGAAGCATTGTTCTTATGTTATTTGCATGCCTGATTGCTCTATTTATCTTAAGAGGAGAGTAAAAGTAGAATAATATATGTTTTCGCTATTCTTATATTATTAGATTTAATGTATATCTGAGCTATTTTTGTGATCATCTTTCTTTTTAAATTTTCTATAATGCTGACTTCAGTAAATGATAAAGATTGACTGAATCAATGATTTAAAAGCTGAATTTATTTTCCTATGCTTGATATCTATTGATTCTTTAAATATGTTAAGAAAATGCTTTGAAAACCATTTTTCCCTCTTTTGTTTTTATTATCATAGCATAAATCTGATCATTTAATTATAACATATTATTATAATGTAATTAAAATTATAAAATTTAAAGCCCTTATTTTATTCATAATCAAAGTTATGAGCTAATAACTAAAAATATTTCATTGTTAGAAAGGTATTTTATTGAATGTTATTTTATAATGAAGTTATTTATAATAAAATACCATTTAATATTAAAAATTATTAAAAAGTTATTTTTCACATAATAAAATTTGAAATATAAAAATTTTGCATTTTACATGATCTGGTAACTTGAACAAATATCACTAATCTTATTTCTCTTATTTAAAACTATTATTTTTTAAATTTTATTGGCTGATTTAGCAAATATACATTTTGGTAAAATTTACCTTTGATAGAGATATGAATTCTGAAGTATAATTTTCATTACTTTTGTATAATAGTTTACTAAAATCCGTCGCTTAAATTTACAATTAATTTTAAGTTTTCTCCAAATTGCACTGAAATCTGTGCATTATTTACCATTAAGATTTGTGCACCAAATAATGAAAAAAAAGTTAAGATCAGTTTATGAGAAAATTAATAGGTATGATTTTATAAGACTTGATTTTCAGTCAATAAAGCTAAAACATTTTTAATTTTATGTATTTTTACTTATTGCTAATTTTTTTATTTACAATTTTTAAAAGTACTGAATATTTCTTTTTTCTTCCCTCTTACACAGAAATGTCTTGAAGTTTAACGAAGTCAGTTCAGGAGAGGATAATTTGATGGTCATTGACTGTAATGATGAATTTGTGAAAGATAATTTTGAATGTTTTATAAAAATTCCTGATGTGGAAAAATTTGCAATACATAAAGAGAGTTTTACTCTGAAATATAATTTAATAGACAATAGTGTAATCTTCTGCTACAAGAATTTGGAAGTTAAGTCCTGGGACTTGGAACTCTTGGTACCAGTTTATCATACTGATTCATTAAAATTATTAAAATTTAAGTCTGTGCCTATTTTAAAAATACCATTGCATTTTAATGAAGAGCTTTTTTCTGCTGCTGCTGCACAAGGTAACTTGATCTTTTGTGTTAAATTTGTAAATAATTAGTTATTTCATGTTTACCAATATCATTCAGCTGGAAAATGTTAATTAGCTTGATGAATAAATTTTCCAATAGCTGACATTTCATAAACTATTTTATTCACAATCCATTTTAATTATATTTAATATTAAGTAATCCCTTTTGCTGTGATTTTTGCAAGCGTTCTTTTAAATGAAGTTGAAAAATGCAATGTATTAAATTTTAGATAATTTATTAAAATTGAAAAACCTTACTTGTTTATGCTTCAAGCGTTCAACCTTTAAGGATTTAATTTGTCTGTGTCTCTAGGCCAAGTAAATTACAGTTTAGTTTGCAAAATGAGGAAACTGTAAATATAAATCAAAAAAAGCTTGAGAGTCTTTTGACACTTAATACAGTGTGAAATGAAGATAACACGAAACAGTAGTTACATGTTAGGCACTAACTATGCAGAATGATGAGTAAACAAAACTCAGTGGGAGAAAACGTTTAATCATGTGGCTCTATCTGTTGAGGTGAAGTAATTTAAACTGAAGAGTTCATAGTAAATCAGTATTTGCTGTTATATTGAATTGCTCTTGGCCTTTTAAAGGGATGCTCAATAGTTGGGTCGTAGTTGGCATGGTTTTTAATATGATCATAGCTTGAATTTCGAATCTTTTCAAAGAAATTGTGAGAAGTAATCAAAATATGGTCCACTACATGTTCGATTTTTAAATTGTCATGAATTTGTTGGTTTCTGACAAATCATGGTGCATTGGTGATGGCCCTTAATATTTTGTTTTGTAGAACAACAACTTTCATTCTGTGACTTTTGGGGGCAGTCTTCCAGACAGAGACTGCTTAGATTGCCATATAGGCTTTATTTGTTTTGTTGAGAACATAGTCCACATGTTCTTTAAATTTTAATTCTTAATCTAAGATAACACCAAGATATTTGGTAGAAGTAACAACAGGTATTTTTTGCTCATTAATTTTGATTTCAATATTGACAGTATGGAATTTCTTGTATCGTCTAAAAAATATTGTGCAACATTTAGCATTTAATTTAATCCTCCAAAGATTGCATCAAAAAGCTACAATATTGATACTGGAGGTGAACAACTGCAAGTTGTGGATTTCTAGAGAGTGCCAGTATAACAATGTCATTAGCAGATTTTGCTGTTGAGCAGTTCAGGTATGTCATTGATATATAAATTAAAAAGTATAGCTGCAAGGACTGGGTCTTGTGGAACTCCAACAGAAATTATTTTTCTTCTGGAGAGAGTATTCCCAATTTTAACTTGGAATGCCCTATTATATAGGTATGATTTGATTAATTTGATGATATTGATAGGAAAATGCATTCTGTTTTATTTATATAGGAGACCTTGCTGCCAAATTTTATCAAAACCATTTTCAACACCTAAGAAGCATGCAACAGTTGCTGTCTTCTTAGTAAAAACATCAGCTGTTATTTCAATGGCAGTTAGAATTTGCATGATAGTATTATGTTCTCTGCAGAAACCAAATTGATTTTTTTATGATGTTATTGCTTGAGATAAAATTAATGATTCCATTTAGGAGTACACATTCAAATATTTTTCCTAAGCACGATAGTAGGCTTATTGGACTATAGTTGGAAGGATTTTTAAAATCTTTTCTCAGTTCTGGAAAGCATGCTTTTATGCACACTAACGTGCACAATATCAGCCTGCTTCCATTGGTGGGAAAAGCAAAGGTTGCGAATGCAAGCATTGATAATATTGTTGGTAAAGATGTTACATTTTCTAGGAAGTTCTTTAATGAATTTGTTTGAAATTTCATCAAACCCATTCACTTTCCTATGAGCTTGCAGATAATTTCTCTGGTTTCTCTCGGGGAGGATAATTTATAACATAATTGTCAATTTTGTCTGCGAATTTTCTTCTATGACGTGTTGGAGGTGTTCAATATTGGTGCTGGGATTTGGGTGAAAGTTTCTTCTAAGATTTCAGCAAGTAGATTAGCACAGGAATCGGCAACTTTATAGCTGTGGTGTGTCAAACCAATCTACCAATAGGATTCAGGGTGCCACACAGTGAGAAATATTTGAAACAATTCGACTCTCGCAACAATGCATGTAGATTTAGGGAATAGAGCTCAAGAATACAAATTTACAGTTTTATTATATATTAATTATGCATCATTTAAAGGTATTTATTAATATAAGATAAACAAAATGAAATACAGTACAAAGTCTGAAATCCGTACTCGTCGGGTCTTCGGCGATTCTGGATTTGGGATTTTTCCGGATATTAGATCATCAGTTTAAATCCAGTAAGATGACATGTTGAAATTATAAAATTAAAAACATGATATCATAATTTATGAAATGATGAAGTATTTATGATCTAAAGAGTATTAAAATTTACAAAAAAAAAAAAGCTTAATATTTATTTGTTTACCTTATTAAACATTTCAGTAACTTAATAAACTTTCAATGTAAGTTGTTTAAGTTGCTTCAATTTTTATGTTAATACTTTCTCATTAATTCTGTAGACAGACATATCTCTTGTTTAGTTACATTGCTGAAGTCCTGTAACTGCTGTTTCAAGAATTCTGACTAACTTGTCAATCAAAATTTTCTCGTTTTCAGTAACTTCTCTGTCACTTTCTTCACTATCAGCAGCTGTGGATCTAGAACCATCTAGATTTCGCCATTCATTGATTGGTGATTGAGGAGCATTGTCATCACAATGAAAAACTTCTTTTATATAGTCTTCATTTATTACTGCTTCTCCACATTTCTTTACAAAATCTGTTATTTGGAAAATTTCACCTTTGTTTTGCGATATCCGAAAACCTTTAAAATTTGCAGCTATCATCATCAAATTTAGCTGTCCTTCACTATACATATTTGGCTATGCATCATGAGCTTGGCGACTAACAACAAGTTGTTTCCTTAAATTTTATTATGCTTCTATCGTGCACTGAGACAGTTAAGCCTGAATTGTATTAGTTTAGTTATTTATTATACTTATGTTTATTTCTTGTATACGCTTTAGGCTTATCAGAGTTTTGAATAAATAAATTCCCACATATACTTATTGAGGGCTGGCCCTAGATAACTTACCGCCTGATGCAGTGTCTGTGGGTCCTAAATTCTGCGAATCGATGCGGCCATATGAGCCCTGGTGCTGGTTATGGGTTTATGTGAATAACAAATCAGTTATTCTTAATTCAAATAGCCCTAAATGTAATCTTTGGGTCTATGAGTATCATCAACAAAATCTATTTTTAGCATATAGAAAGAAATTTTTGGTAAGTTTTTCCTCATCAACACATTTTAGGGCATTTAACTTAAATCCGTAATCATCACCAAGCGTAATGTCAACATAAAAGGTGACCATACTCCTTTATTATTCAATTACTAACATAAAAAATTGTTTAGGCATCGCTACATGAGTCATTACTCAAGTTTTTCATGTTTTGATAAACATGTGGTGATGAAAGGAAAGTATAATAAATAATGATTCGCTATGTTGACATCAGATCAACGATGTGTCTATGTGGAATGTTTCGGTTTGAGATGTGTGCCAAGGAGATACGCAGCAAGAGAGCCAAATTACTGATCGTACAAATTTATGCTAAAATGAATGTTTCTTCAATAACAAGATATTTTATTTAGTGTCAAAGGGAAATTAAGAATCGGAAATCTCCAGATATTTTATTATGCGCAGAGGGGGGGGGATCAAATACGAATACGTAACACCTACGAGAAAAACTTTGTTGGTGGTTTGAGGTGCAGATTTTAGATCATTCCAGATAATGGACGTCCAGATTTCGAACTTTGTATTGTATTAATATTCTGTCAGTATAAGTAAAAAATTTAAGTTATACATATATTATGTATTATGCATCTTTTAAACATATTTTTTAAATTAAAAAATAAACAATTTACAATTACAGCATAATAACAAACAAGGCACACAACATCGTTCACTTCATTATTTTCATCAAGAGCAACGCTAAATGCAACAGTTTCTTGAAATCCAGAATTCTGTTTTGTTGTTGCACTTTCTGCTATTTCAGTTATTTGTCTTTCAGTGGTCAGATATTTCTTGAATTTAGTGTAATATTGTCTGTAGATTTGGTAAATTAATGAACAATATTCCAACACTTTTTTAAATGTGTCTTTTAATATATTTGCCATCTATGAAAGTTTTGCTTTTGGCAACTACACAGTGAGCAATTACGAAACTATATTTGTCACTTTAGGTATGGTTCCAATTGTTTGACAAAAAGTGTAACTTGTTTCTTATATCCAGAAACAACTCTTTTTATAACTTCAAATTTCCCTTCAGAATTCTGAAATATGGACTGATGTTTAGTTTGAAAATGTCTTTGTATACTTAATGTACAACATACAAAGCTTTGCAACATGACATACATAAAATACTATTCTTTTTATATACAGATATATATTCAATCGTCCTAGAGTCTTGAAAACTGGGAACATCAGGCTCTCTTTTTTTTTTAGTGGGCATTTAATTAAATATGAAGGTATGAATTGTGACAATAATTAACTCCTTCACATCCAATCCTCCCGACACAGCTCTACATTGAAACAACCAGAACCACCCGAAAATGGCCGAGATTGTAATCTTGTTTTCTTCCCTCCTCCTAAGGTATGCAGTAGCAGGTGCAATTTCCCCAAATGCATTGTATCAGTTTACTGCAGGCAGCTTGTCCTAAGAGGTTTTATTATGTTTTTGTTGATCGTGACATTTCGTTGTTGATTCTTTTGTGGTACAGTGAGCTTTTAAGTTTTAAACAACAATAAAAGAGCACTCAGAAGTCAAGAAGTCAAACAACAAAAATCAGCGTTATACCTACAAAATTTTCACAGGACTAGTTTCGATGGTTTTACCGAACCATCATCTTCAGCTGCAAAACCGCAAATGAACAAGATAGGAAATAATGATTAGATATCTAATAATGATAACAAGATAGGAAATAATGATTAG